GGAGTCAGGAATCACAGACCAAAACCAAAATCACACGTATTTCCTAGGATTCTAGAACAGTTCTGAGTTAGTTATTTTAATATTATAGCCCATTACCTCTTAGGGAGTAGCAAGGCCTCTCAGAAGGAAAGAGCCTGGGACTGTGCCCTTAGGAGGTAAGGGTAAAGATTTGGGGGCAGGTCATTTAGGGGCCAAGGGACAGACCCTGGCCTGTTGATGGTCTTTTCATCTAAGGTGCTGATCTACCCCTCTGCCTCCCCCTGGAAGCCAAGGTCACTAGGCTGAGCCCCTGGGGAGGGGAGGGAGGATTGGTCGACTCTGTGTGATGTGGCCAAGGATGATGGGGGTGGCCCTCATCATCCTAAGCCTTCGGCCGGGTTCAGAGCTCTGAGCATCTTACCTTTTGCCCCAGTCCCTGCCTCCTCCCTGTGTCCTCTGCCCCCCTTCCGCCCTGTCCTCCAGGTTCCCCAAAGAGCCAAAGAAGCACTGAGCTCAGCTCTTCTCGCAGCCCGGTCTGGGGCTGACGCCCTTTGTCCGGCCCTCACTGCAGGAAGGCGGGGGTCCTCCAGTGCCTGCCACCGGGCTGTGCACATTCCCGGTGGTGGTGGGGGGGGACGGATATTAAAATAACTAACCACATCACATCAGCCCCTGCTTAATTGTGAACAGAGGAAGCGCCTGTGCCAAGATCCTGCTGCTGAAAAGCTCTGGGTTTCTCTCTTCGCTGCAGTGCCGGCTCCCACCGCCGCTCAGCCTGTGGGTTGCCAAGTGGCAAATAGACCAGGCTCTGTTCTAGGAGATTCCGGGGGGTTTTCTGAGCCGGGCTGCCCAGCCTGCCTGCAGGACCTGGAGAAGGGATGGTGGGAGGCTTTGAGGGGGTGGGGCTGGGGTGAGATGTCCCCGGGGGAGATTCAGCCTGTCGGGGAACAGACATGACATGACGAGTGGACCATAAAACTGTATAGACAAAACCAGGCAGCTGCCTTTTTTGTTTTAATTAAAATACTGTATTAAATTGTAATTCATTTGGATTACTGGCTTTTCTTTAGGCCCCTTCATGTTTTGCACTTGAAGCCAGTGCCTCACTGGCCTGGCGCTGGTCCTGGGTCTAGTCCAGAGTTCCGAGGGTCTGTGGTTTACTTAGAAGACCTGGAAACTGGTTTTTTTCCCTGATCCCCCTCCATGCCCCAGGGAGGAACAGGGCCAAGTGTTGCGATCCTGGACACCCCGTCTAAATGTCTAAATCTAATAGGAAACTTCCTCCTGCCCCTTATCTGGGATGAGGCGGGGCTGACCGGGCCCTTGCTGACCTCAGGCTGGGTGGGACTGGCAGAGGAGGTTGCTGAAGGGGAGGGTGACAGAGTCCTTAGAAGCCAGGAAGAGGGCCTCTGGAGGACACAAGAGGAGGCATCCGATGGAAGCTTTTGGGCTTTGCCTTTGGCAGGGACCTGCCTGTCACCAGCCCTTGCTTCCTACCTGCAGGACAGGGTTTGGATTCTCCACTGGGCAGGACGAGGCAAAATGGGCCCAGGACATGGCCACAAGGTCCATGCTGGACTGTGCGCCTCGCAGGCAGGGCCAGTACCAGCCCCCTGCCCAGACAGCATCTGTGTGAGCATCGCAGCCGGTCCTGGGGGCTTCCCTGGCTCTGGTGGTGCTGCTGGGAGAGGAAGTTTGTTCTATCAGTTTGAGAGTGGAGAGTGTCTGGGCAGAGGCAGCTGGAGCAGTGGGAGGGACTGTAGGCTGCATTGTGAGAACAGACGCCGATGCCCAGCCTCACTGCACACATAGTGTGTGTACCTTAACCACTCCAGCCTCAACTTTCTTCTCTGGAAAATGCACCATGACACCCCTAGCCCACAACCAGACTGGGATGTGGTGTGCTCTGCGCAGGCACCTGGCCCAGCCTCACTCATGGAAAGTATCTGGGAAGCCTTCATTCCCTTTTCACATCCAGCCGGTACTTACCCAAGCCTGTTTTTCCCTCTTCCACACAGTTGCTTGGGAATTAGTGACCCATGAGGACTCCTGCTTTCTGTCTCCCAGAGGGTGCCCCCTTTCTGGGTAACACACTGTTCCCCCACCTGTACTCTGCAAAACACTCCCCCCAATTCAGGGCCCTACATCACCTGTGTTGGGCCAATGGAGGGTCCCAGGGGGGACCCCACAACTCCTACACACTGGAGTTCCCTCCCCCCCCCACCACCACTCTGCTTCCTGGCACCTCACTCCCTGATGGTCTGTCACGGTGGGGGCTGGCTGTTGAAGGAGAAGCTGCCCCTTCTCATTGACGAACTCTGATGGGGAGGGCTGCTGCTCCCCCTCCCCTGCGCCCACTGTCTCCAGGGATCCTGATTCGATTTCCTCCAATCACCAGCATTGCCATCTGCCTGGGGTAATTAAATGGTATTTGAGTTGGGTCCAGAAATCCCATTGCAAGCAGCCCACGTGGTAAGTGCTTGCCAGCTAAGCTGGAGGGTCCTCTGAGGCTGCCTGAGCCAGACCCACAGTTCACCTGGGGGCACCAGGCCTAGGGGCAGAGCCAGGTCTGAGGACCAGCTTCCTCCTGCTTTCTGTCTCCCAGAGGGTCCACAGTGCCACGTCTGTCCCCCCGAGGTCCCCGCCTGCTCTCTGCCCCCATGCAGGAGCCGTCTTTCCACGTGCCACAACCACCCCTACCTCGTAGTGACACCATAGCGAAGGACGTCGAAAAGGCAGCCCCCACACACGGCTCAGACCCCTTTCTGTCCCTAACCGCCCCTGACTGATGGGGCGACGTCTGCCGTAGAGGGGTGCTATCCACCATGTGGCAATGTTGTGAGAATCACGAGTAGTGTGTGGTATTGCTGTCCTTGGAGATTCCACTTTATGGCAAGGAAAGTGAAAGCAAACTTGTCCATGTGGGACTACCTCAGAAGGTCTTTCCATAATGAGAGGAAATGTATGATCAGATTAAAAAGCCATCCTACTGAAGGGAAGATGGTGTTCACATGGCACACAACTGGTAGGAGGTTAATAGCCAGTCACCCAACTTAACAACAAAAGGACAAGCAGCCCAAGTTGAAACCTGGGCAGCAGACCTGAAAAGACAGTTCACCAAAGAGGACCTGAGAAGGCCAACAGATACATGGGAAATTGCTCTCAACACTGAATAAGGGAGATGCAGACCAAATCCACCAGGGATGTCACCTCACATCCGTGAGAATGGCTTCTCTTAACAAGACCCCAATAATCAGCACTGTAGAGGGCCATTGGTTGGGGAGGATGTAAACTGTCATGGCCATTTTGGAAAGAGGTCTGGACCTACCCACAAAAAAACAAAGGGGATTCCACTGTTGGGTACTAGCTGAAGAGCAGGGAATCATCAACTGAAAAAAACAATGATCTCTACAAGGTTTATTGCAACATTATTTATAATAGCTAGGCAATGGGAACAACCTAAGTGGCAGCTACAGAGGACAGGGTAAGGAAGGTGTGGTGTGTCCCGTGCAATGGAATACTACTCAGCCATAAAAATGGACGAGGTGTTGCCACTTACTGCAAAATAGAAGGAGCTCAAGGGAACTAAGTGAAACAAAGTCAGTCGGAAAGATGGAGACAAATATTGGGCGATTTCACGTACATGAATAAAATAAGGACTCAACATGAATGAAATGACAAAGCAAAATAATTATAAACTACTGAACGCTGATAACCAAAGTAAGGCTTCTGAGATTGAAAGGAAAGGGAAAGGGTCAAAGGGGTAGGATGGGGAAGATACAATTTTTAAAAGTGAAATAACAACAATGAAGAGTTATTAGACCTGCGCTTAGCTGCCTGGCACACTGGGTGTGGCTGATATAGAGGCATTGCCGAAGACAAGAATTCCAGGCCCCATTAGCATGGGGCAGTAACCGGCATGGTAACAGGCTCAGTGCCTGCCAACCGGCAGACCTGAGTGGGCTTTAGGAACTGGGGCAGCCCAGGACTGGGGAGGACAGTGACTGGGAGCCCCTTGCTCTGTGGCAAGGCCCCCCTGACTCTGGCTGGGCACTGGCCTGGCCCCCTCTCTCTTTTCTTCTCTTGGTAAATGTTGGCTTAGGGAGAGGAAGGCTGACAAGCAACTCATTGTGAGTGCCCACTGACGGCTGGCTTGTGTGGGCCCGTGTGTGGGCACTCACTGCCCCACCCCCTTTTACTTTAGGGCATTTGGGAGATGCTTGCTTCCAATCCCTACTCACGCATGCTCCCTGACTCGCATTTGGTTGTCATGGGGACCTGCCATGGGGATGACTGCTTGGAAGAGGAGGAAGGGGTGGCTGGATGGAGACAGCTCTGCCCATGGCTACTTCCCAGATTAACTCCGATGCCACTTTTCTTCCTCTTTACAAGGGCGCCCACAAGGATCCGAGCCGCCCCTGTGGCTGGCCTGGCATCCTCCTAGAGCAAATTTTTTACTTGACTTGGTTGGTACTTGGTTCTGACCCTTTTGTCCCCTGAAGAGGAAAATGCTTGTGCCTGCGAATGTTCTGGCAGGCTGTGGCATCTAGGAAAGGGACTCCTGAGCTCAAGGACCTTTGTTGTCCCTGAAGGCCCTGGCAGAGGCTCTGTCTCTTCCAGAACTTAACCCTGACAGAGAGGCCCATCCTTTTCTTCCCCTGTCTGGGATACTGATGCTAGGGCTCCCCACTCAGTCCGCATTCAAGCAGGAGTGGGTGTCTGAGGTCAGACAGGTCATGTTCAAGGATATAGAACAATTCTCCTGGCTTCATTCATGTGAAAGGACTTCTAACAGCCCTGATGGACAGGGCTCAATAAATGCCAGCAACTGCTGTTTTCTGATGGTGTTGGTATTGCTGTTACTGCCCTTGTTACTGTATTATTACAAAAGCTGTCATTCTCCTACAGGCCGGGAACGACAGGACTCCTAAGCTTCCATTTCCTCCAGCTTTGGTGGGGATGGAAGCAGGGAGCGGGGACTTCCATGTGGGTGTGACCCTGGATTCTGCCTCTCCTGACAGGATCCGGCCCCAACTGTCAAAGGAGAAGATTGAGGGGTGTCACATCTGCACTTCTGTCACCCCCGGGGAGCCCCAGGTCCTTCTGGGGAAGGACAAGGCCTTCACCTATGACTTTGTCTTCGACCTGGACACCTGGCAGGAACAGATTTATTCGACCTGTGTGAGCAAGCTCATAGAGGGCTGCTTCGAGGGCTACAATGCCACGGTGCTGGCCTATGGGCAGGTGAGCCGCCTGCACCCCACCAGGGCCTCCTCAACTCTGGTCTCCCCCACCTGACGGGAGAGACAGCCCCCCTCAGAGCAGTCAAGACATTTCTCCTGCCGGAGGTGGCTGTACCGATGTTATTTAGCAGGGAAGGGCTGTTGTCAGAGACATCCACTGTGGTTTGCGGATGGGGACGGGTTGGGGGTCTCAGGAAGGAGGTGGACGGTGAGGGGTCCAGGGCTGGCTAGGTAACACCCTGCTTGCATCTTTGCCCATGCAGACGGGGGCCGGGAAGACGTACACTATGGGCACTGGCTTCGACACGGTGACGTCGGAGGAAGAGCAGGGCATCATTCCGAGGGCCATCGCACACCTCTTCGGGGGTATCGCTGAGCGCAAGCGGCGGGCACAGGAGCAGGGCATGCCTGGGCCCGAGTTCAAAGTCAGCGCTCAGTTCCTGGAGGTACATTGGCCTCATAGGGTGGGCAGGGGGGAGACTTGGAGGGTACAGCGAGACGGTGGGAGCTGGGTTCAACTCCAGAGTGTGCATGGGCCTAAGGGAGCCATGGAAACTTCTAGAGGTGAGCAGTTCCCTGCTGCAGGAAGTACCCAAGCAAAGGCTGGAATGTCACCTGCAGGGTGCTGGGGAGGGGATGGGAGGGGAGGGGTCCTGCATCAACTGGGGCTCAAAAGCATGACCTGTAGAACCTCATGAAACCCAACTGATGCTCATGGCTCTATACTTGCCAGCCATGTGGCCTTGGGCAAGACACTTTACCACTGAGTCTCATCTAACAAAGGGATGATGGAAACTGTTTTCATGGGGATTTTGTGAGGATCATGCGGAAACACATACCTGGCCCCTCGTCCTCCCAGACCTCAGGGCAGCCTGCCCTGTCCCTTTCTGACTGAGGGCCCCCAACCCTACATCTTTGACTCTTCTAAAGGAGCCCTCTTAGCTTCTGGCCAGCCTGTCTTGGGGAATGGCAGTGCACCACCGCCAGGAGTTGTGGCTGCAGGGACCAAGGGGGTGGGGAGAGGATCTATCAGCACCTGGGCTGAGGCCCAGCTCAGAAACCCCAGCAGCAGCGTGCCGGCCTGCAGAGGGCCTCACAGAGGAAGGCCGGTGCACCAGGCCTGACCTGAGAGGGCTCTTCCAGGACACTTGAACCACGCAGCAACTCCAGGTTCCAAGAGTCTGAAACCCCAACCTCTGACATCCCCAGGGCATCAGCTGGGTGTGCGTCCCCTGGGCTATCACCCACAAGCCCCAGGCCCCCCCTCCCAGGCAAGGATGCAGCCCCACCCTCTGAAGGTTTCCCCTGCCCATGGTTATTCCCGCCAGAGTACACAGGGCACCTGCTTCCCCTCCAAGGGGCCCCCGTACTTTAGCCCTAGAAGGGTTTTTTTTTTCCCCTTCTACTTTTGCTTCTGATAAACAGGTCCTGTGTGTGTCTCTGTGTGTGTCTGTGTGTTCTGTTTGTGTATCTCTAAGTACTCTGCATCCCATCTACATACTGTTGCAACAGAAATCCCCAAATAGTGGGCCAGTTCCTAGAAAATTCATAGCAGTGAGTGACCCACAAGAGGTTAAATCATGGCGATGTTGGTCCCGACAGGCACTATGGCACCCACATCTGCACCAGTCCTGTGGCTTCCTCTTCCCCTTCCTGTGGGGTATTTCTGTCCTTGGAGCCCAGCAAAGCCTCGGATGTCCCAGGGCCACTCTGTAGCCTGCCCCTCCCCCACAGGATCTGACCCCGCTGCCTCTTCCCCTGTCCCTCAACCTCAGCCCTAATTGTGCTCAGGGAAAAGGTTTCACCTTCCCCGCCAGTGAGTACAAACATGGGCATCCCCAAAGCTGAGCCCACCGAAATGGGGTGACTGCCCTGGCCAGGGCCCCTCCCAGGAAGTCTCACCAGACTCTCAGGTCAGGCCCCCACGGCACATTCTCCGGCACATTCTCCGGCTGGCTCTCCTCTTGAGCCGAAACAAGGCACACAGCTCACTCACCCCTGGGAGGTTGTCGTCACCTCACCCAGGACGTGGGGATCGGGGCACTGCTCCCACTGTCCCCACTGGGCTTGGCTTGCCCCGTCCCCCTCTTTCCCAGTCAGTAACGTAACAGGGTCTGCCCGAACCACAGGCACATCTGCCTCACTGCCATCTGGGGCCTGCGTGCCTGTGTCCCTATAGTTCCTTTACTCCCCACTGAGGAGGGGAGGCACAGCCTAGGGTTGGCTCTGTCCAGCTCCCGCCCCTGGCCCTCCGGCCACTGTCCAGGAGAAAGATCAGGAGTCCAGAACCCAGAGGGCCCCCAGAGCCTCAGTTTCCGCAACAGCAAGATAGTGTTGGTTCATAAATGCGACGGGGCCCGGGGCCCCAGGCCACGCGCCAGGGAGCCCGCAGCTCTGAACCTCTCTCCCTGCAGCTCTACAATGAGGAGATCCTTGACCTGTTTGATAGCACACGGGACCCTGACGCCCGCCACCGCAGGTCCAACATCAAGATCCACGAGGATGCCAACGGCAGCATCTACACCACGGGTGTCACTTCCCGCCTCATCAACTCTCAGCAGGAGGTGAGCCTTTAGCGGGCACAGCTGATGGGGTTGGCACCAGCCACCGGGGCCTCACCTCCACCTTCCTCCCCAGCTGATCCAGTGCCTGAAGCAGGGGGCCCTGTCGCGCACCACGGCCAGCACGCAGATGAACGTGCAGAGCTCGCGATCCCACGCCATCTTCACCATCCACCTGTGTCAGATGCGCGTGTGCGCCCAGCCCGACCCGGTGAGCAGCGGGGTGCACTGCATTGGCAGGGGCCTCTCACGGGCAGGATGAGAAAGGCGCCCGGCTTCAGAGCCAGGGAGCTCACGATGCCTCTGTGCTAGGAGGGTGGCGAGAAGCAGGCGTGCCAGTACCGAAGGCGGTCAGATGCGCCGCACATCCGGGGCGAGGCTCCCTGAAGCCTGCCCGGCCTCTGCACCCCGAGTCCCCCAGGGGGCCTGACTGTGGTTGGGGCCTGGGGAATGAGCTGCCGACTTCCGCTGTAGGTGAATGAGGTGGTGACCGGGCTTCCCGAGGGCACCACTCCTTCCAGCGAGTACGAGACACTCACCGCTAAGTTTCACTTTGTGGACCTGGCCGGCTCCGAGCGGCTGAAGCGGACCGGGGCCACCGGCGAGCGGGCCAAGGAGGGCATCTCCATCAACTGCGGCTTGGTAGGCACTTGGTGGGCCACCAGCCCAGCGGCCAGCGCAGCTCAGTCTCACCCTGCCAGACCCCCTTTCCACCCCAGGCGCCTAGGGCCTCCTGTCAGCCAGTGTGTCATCATGGTGATACCTTTGATGCTTCACCCTAACTGCTGCCCCAATTTTCCAATGTCACCAACTTAACACATCACCTATAAATCCTCATGGGGGGCCTGAGGGTTACTCAGGTCAGCAAGGTGGGTGCAGATGACTTGGGGGTTGTCTTGTCCCTTCTCCTCCCTTCCTGAGTGTGGGGGTCTGTTTCCGCAGCTGGCCTTGGGCAATGTTATCAGCGCCCTGGGGGACCAGAGCAAGAAGGTGGTACATGTGCCCTACAGGGACTCCAAGCTCACTCGACTTCTCCAGGACTCGCTCGGGGGAAACAGGTACCCGAAGATTAACACCAGGAAAGGGAGGAAATGCAGGTTTGGAGGGTGAGGCCCCAAGGACAAGAACACCTTCCTGCTTGGGATGCAGGCAGAGGAGACCTTGGGTACCCACTCAAGGTTCCCAGGCCAGTGGTCAGCTGCGCTACACACTGGAAGAGAGAGTCCTAAAGGAAGCGACAGCCCATGGGGGAGATTAGAAGAGCAGTGCTGGGGGTTGCAGGGCTCACCCCATTGCTGAGCAGAGAACTTGGGTGATGATACAACCTCTGCACCTTGCCAGCTGCCCTTCCTGTGGTCCCACTGTTGGAATGGGCACCTGGTATGGACCATGGTTCTGCCCTAGTGAATGCCCGGGTCCTTAGGGCATTAAGGCAGCAGGGGAATGGGTGGGAGCAGGGAGTATTCTGCTCTGGGGTGATGCTTCTGGGGGCTGACTACTACCCCTTATCTGCCCCACCCAACTGCACCCCCCAGCCAGACCATCATGATCGCCTGTGTAAGCCCCTCAGACCGAGACTTCATGGAGACACTCAACACGCTCAAATATGCCAATCGGGCTCGCAACATCAAGAACAAGGTGGTGGTGAACCAGGACAAGACCAGCCAGCAGATTAGCGCGCTGCGGGCCGAGATCGCGCGCCTACAGATGGAGTTGATGGAGTACAAGGCGGTGAGCACCCCACCCCTTATCCACTCTTCACCCACATCCTGTGTACCGGCTGTGGGCCGGGCTTAGTGTCAGGCAGTTCACCCAGGCAACAGAGCCCTCAATTTTACTAAGTGAGAGGCAGTGCGCTTGCCTGACGTTACCTCAGCCTCATGCAAAAGGAGCTGCCCTGCTGGGTGTTTTCACACCCGCTGGATGTGCTGTGTGGGACCAAGATGGATACAGAGTAAGCGCTGATGTCACCAGTGAGTCACCCACTGGCAGAGAAGAGAGCTGGCCCTATTCATTTAGGTGTTCGAGGAGGGCTTCATGGAGGAGGGGCTTTGACATGGATTTTGAGGATAAATGCCAGCAAAAGGAGCTGGAACAGGCATTCTAGGATGCAGGCAAACATGTACAAAGAGGCATAGTGGGAAACGCACGGAGATGGGGCGCTTTTGGGGAAGTGCTTCATTCCAAGTGACTAAGGCAGAAACGGCTCGTGGCCCACGACCTGAATGTGGTGCATGAATGAATGGGTTGTGGTTTGGTTTGACCTTTGTTTTAAAAGAGTGCAACTTAGCTGTTAACCTTTGTGAAAATCAGGAAGCTTCTTTTTTTTCTCTTGAACAAAACGAAGACCTAACAACGAATGTACCAAGTTGGCAGGAGTGGCAGCGTGGCTGGAGTCCGTGACTCCATTAGCCCCTGTTCCCACCACTCCCTATTGTCTTACATGCCAACTAACTACTTATGCCACATGCCTGGGCCCCCTAAGGTTTTGACCCCTGGTTAGCACTTATGGAGGGCAAGCTTGTGGGAGGCCTGGAATGACTATCTACCCAGCCTGGGCTTTTTCGTTGTCCAGCAGAGCCACGTAAGGTTTCTGAGAACTGGGGAATGAGCTGTGTGTTGGAAAAGCTGGGGCCCTAATGTCATGTGAAGGGAAAGGCGTGGCAGGGTGGAGTACTGCCACCCCTTCTCTGCCTGGGACCTGATGGCTCTGGTCCACCCCTCCTGCCAGGGCAAGCGGGTGATTGGGGAGGACGGCTCTGAAGGCTACAGTGACCTGTTCCGGGAGAACGCCATGCTGCAGAAGGAGAACGGGGCGCTGCGCCTGAGGGTGAAGGCCATGCAGGAGGCCATTGACGCCATCAACAGCCGCGTCACCCACCTCATGAGCCAGGAGGCCAACCTGCTCCTGGCCAAGGCCGGTGAGTTGGGGTGCACCAGCAGGAGCACAGGAAATGCTATGCATTTCCCACACCTTTCTCAGCACCCTGCCCAAAACCTGACGGCATTCCCGTACACACACGGAGAAGCACCATGAAAACACATCGCTTTTTCTTTCTTGTATTAGAGGCCCTCTGTGATGTCTGTGGTCCCCCTTGTTCACTTAGCGTTATGCCTCAGAGATGAAACATTTGTAGCCCCGTAGTTCTTCACACCTCACAGCCTTCCACACCCGTGCTCGTCTCCACTGCGAAGTGCAGGTCTTTCCTGGCTAGAGTTTTTGCAAGGGGGCCCTGCGCTAGCCCACGCAGACCTAGATCTCCAGACTTCCACCGAGGGTCCTTGCTGTTAACGTTTATTGCTCCTCCTCCCGCCAGGCGATGGCAACGAGGCCATTGGCGCGCTGATCCAGAATTACATCCGGGAGATTGAGGAACTGCGGTAAGTGACGCCCAGCTTTGGGGGAACGCTGAGGGGCTGGGCTAGGCCTGTGGGGTTCACTTGGCCCCGCCCGCTCGCCCGTCACACAGGACGAAACTCCTGGAGAGCGAGGCCATGAACGAGTCTCTGCGCCGAAGCCTCTCTCGGGCCTCGGCGCGGAGCCCATACTCTTTGGGGGCGTCTGCGCCGGGCTTCGGGGGCAGCCCAGCCAGCTCCATAGAGGACGCGAGCGAGGTGATCCGCAAGGCCAAACAGGACCTGGAGCGGCTCAAGAAGAAAGAGGTCAGGCAGCGGAGAAAGAGGTGAGGCAGGCCACTCCTCGGAGAGCCCGAGGCGCCCCCAGGAGGGCTGCCCCCCCAGGGACCAGTCCTACCCCCCCACCCAGATGCTCACCCCAGAGGTGGCCCCCTGACCTGCCCTACCCTTCGCTCCTGGGCAGCCCAGAGAAGGAGGCCTTCAAAAAGAGGGCGAAGCTCCAACAGGAGAATAGCGAGGAGACGGATGAGAACGAGGCTGAGGAGGTGAGGTGCCCCGTACCCCCACCGCAAGCTCATCCCTCCTGTCGCAGCAAGGCGGGGCCATCACATCCTGGTGCAGGGTGGGGGAGTCTCAGGTCTGCACCCTGTGTCCTGGTGCCCCCTGAGTCAGCCTGCGTGGTGTGGCGGGCTCCAGCCTACCTCTCCCACCTCACCCCAAAACCTCGCCCCAAATGGGTGATGCCTGCCGGCAGGGAGGCCCTCCCAGAGGGCCCTGCCCAGGCCGCTGGGAGAGGGGCCTTCTCCCTGTAGGGGCAAAGGCACAAGAGCCCAGTTCCCACCCTACAGACCTACCTAGAAGCTTCCAGACACGCTTCTTTTCTGGGCCCCCTCTCCTGAGGCCAGCACCCCCGAGCGAGGAGGGGGTAGCTGGCCCACTCCTAACGGAGCTTGGTGCCCAGGAGGAGGAAGAGCGAGAGGAGAGTGGCTGTGAGGAGGAGGAAGGGCGTGAGGACGAAGACGAGGACTCGGGCAGCGAGGAGAGCCTGGTGGACTCGGACTCAGACCCTGAGGAGAAGGGTGCGCTGGGGCTAGGGTGGCCGGGGTGGTCCCAGCGGGGCGCTCAGAGAAGGGGGTGGCCAGGACCTGGCCCTGCCCACCGGAAACCAACAGCACACCCAAGAGGTGCTAAGCATGGCCGCAGACCTTCGTGAGCGCTCTGAGTGCTGGGCACTGTGCAAGCCCCACCCTCGTCATACCTGGCTCTCCCAGCCCTCACTGCTCTCCCGTCATGGTGACAGACCCTTGTTTCTGGCACCCCGAAGAACAAGCTCAGGGAGGCTTTGTGCCTTTCCCAGTATGGTTCATGCGGAAGGGGAACATTGGTCTGGCTGGTGTCAAAGCCCCCTCCTCTAAATGGGGAGCCCCCTCTTCTAAGCAGGGGATACCTGCTCTGTGCCGCCATCTCTTCCCCACAGCCCTACAAGGCACCTCAGTCCTTCTAGGCAGGGGTCCCCTCACCTGGAAGTTGGCTTCAGGGCACAGCAGGGGGGCCCAGCTTGCATTTTGGGGACCGGTCTTTAAACGTATCACCCATCTGGGATTTAGCATTCTTTAGTGGTGGGGACTGACTGGTCATGGCTGACCCAGGGAAGGCCCAAACTTGCCTCACCCCCCACCCCCAGCCCTGAGTCAGACCTGTCTGCTCCCCAGAGGTGAACTTCCAGGCAGACTTGGCCGACCTGACGTGCGAGATCGAGATCAAGCAGAAGCTGATTGACGAGCTGGAGAACAGTCAGCGCCGGCTGCAGACCCTCAAGCACCAGTATGAGGAGAAGCTGATCCTGCTGCAGAACAAGATCCGAGACACCCAGCTGGAGCGGGACCGCGTGCTCCAAAACCTCAGTGAGGCCCGCGCCGCCCCCAGGCCCTGCCCAGCAGCTGCCCTTTGCAGGCTGACCAGCTCTTCCGGGCGAGACCCATAGTCTCAGCCCTAGGCCCAGTGCGCCATCTTAAATTCATTAATCTTCTCATTGAGTTATTGTCCTGTTACACATCTGAGTGCGTTGGGGTTTCCTTTTGACTCTGTTCACCAATCTGCTTCGTGATCACCCTGTCTTCCTCACACTGTTCCTCAGCCCACTCATTCAGTTATTCATGGTCTCATTCAGCAAGCTTTTGTTGAATCTGTCTAGCAGAGTAGACATCATCCTGGGTGCTAGAGGTATTGGAGTGAGGAGTCCCTGTTCGCGGAGTGTCCATCCTTGTGGGGACAGGCGTGAAGGAGTAAGCTGAACCTGTGCCGTGCCAGACAGTGGTGAGCATTTTAGAGGAAACACAGCAGGGAAGGAGGATGGCGGTGGGCTGGAGTTTTAAAATGGCCGTGGAAGCCCTCGCTGAGAAGGTAACATTTGAGCAAAGCCTTAAAGCAGGGGAGATAGCGCTGGACAGGATGAATGAAGGGACAAGCACTGAAGGCAGAAGGAACAGAGGAGGCGAGAGCCCTGGCATGTTGGCGGCTGGGCCAGGCAGCTGGAGCACAAGGTGCAAAGAAGGGGAAGAGAATGGTGGGGCTGGGGCATGCTGGTCACTGCAAGGACAAGACCTTATGCTGGAGAGCCGTGGGAAGGGCTGGAGTTCTGAGAGCACTTTTAGGTAATCAGTGATGCTGTCTGGGGGGGGGAGGGGAGGAGGGTGCTGGAAGTGGAAGCTGGAGGCCAGCTAGGAGATTGCTCCCAAGATCCTGGTGCAAGATGATAGGGTAGGAGTTGAGGAAATAGTGGTGGGATTCTGGGCATATTTTGAAGGGTTTGTTGACTGATTTGGGTGCATTCTTGTGAGTGCAAGAAAGGGGAGCTTTCTCCAGGGTGGGCTTATGGCAGGATGATGGTGACAGTCCCTGGAATGGGGGGTGGGGGAGCTGTGGGAGGGGTGTGGAGCTTGAGAGTTGGGTTTGTGCCAATCCATTCGGATGTCTGTTCTGTAGCAGTTCAGGTAGGAAAGGTCATGGGCAGGCAACGAGGCTATTCCTCCCACACACAACACTGCATCCTCTCTCCCTTCCCCAGACCCCACCCTGGCCTCCACGTATGGCTCACGACGCAGCCAGCACTGGTGGCTCAGGCCCCTCCTGGGAAGCTGATGACCAAGCCTCAGAGATCTCAAGATGACATCCCCTTGGGGGGACTGGGGCATGCCGGGAGGGGCTCGTTTCATCCCCTCGTTAGATGAAGAAACAAGGCAGAGGGGGTGTGGCTTGTTCAGGGTCCCGCCATGAGATATTCAGGAGCCCAGGGTCGCTGCCCTGTCTGGACCCCAGCCAAGAGAAGCCCCTGGGGACGTGGCCTTGATCACCCCTTGTGCCCTCAGGCACCATGGAGTGCTACACAGAGGAGAAGGCCAACAAGATCAAGGCAGACTATGAGAAGAGGCTTCGCGAGATGAACCGGGACCTGCAGAAGCTGCAGGCCGCCCAAAAGGAGCACGCACGTCTGCTCAAGAACCAGTCGCGCTATGAGAGGGAGCTAAAGAAGCTGCAGGCCGAGGTGGCTGAGATGAAGAAGGCCAAGGTAGGCGCGTGGGTGAGGAGCAGGCTGAGGGGTCGCTGTGGGTGTCTGAAGCTGCTTATGGGTAACAAGTAATCATTGCTGTCATTGCGGATAAGCTGGGCCCTCACTATTGCCTATGTGACCCTGGCCAGGTCCTGGACACTGTCCAATGTGAGTCACCTTTCCCAGCCCCAGGGCCAGTGATCAGAGCAATCAGAGCCCCCAGCATGGGGGCTGACTCAGTGCTGCCCCCTCTGGTGGGAAGACCCATTACATTTGCCTGTAGTCTGAACCGAGGTTGTTCTTGAGGTCTCAATTGTGCCCCCTTTGCCGCTAATAACAACAACATTAGCACTGTGGTTAAGTCAGGCTAGTCACCTCACACGCTGGGTCCTATTCAATCCTAGAAGAACTTCATCAAAGAAGCCCTGTTGTCTGTTATTCCCATTTTGTGTGGGGCGGGGGAAACAAGGCTCAGAGAAGTCAGTTTCAGTTACCAAGAGGTAGTGCTGGGATTTGAGCTCGGGTCTGATTTCCCAAGCTGGGGTGCGTGCTGTGTGGAGCAGTACCCTTCTTTTTACTTCTTAGTCATCACTCAGAGTACTCTAGTCCCTGGGGCCTGGGGTGCCCCCAAGGTTCTGTCTTCAGGTTTCAGCTCTTCCGCCTGTGGTGTCTGGGTATGTTTCCGTTCCTACCTCGGGCCCAGCAACTCCATGCTCCCTTTAAGTTCCCTCTCCCCTGGGCCTTCCTGGGACTGCACAGGAGTGCCCCAGCCCTTACGCCTTGCTTACCCCACTCTCTGAGGCCCTGGGCCTGGACCCCCTCACAGAGCCTTGCTGGGCTGCCAGCAGCCCAGCAAGTACCAGACAATTGACCTTGGGAACCAGAACCCCCATGTGTGAGGCTGATGGGGTGTGTGAATGTAGGCCCTTGCGCACCGTGTGCAGGGAGCAGAGGCCTTGCATGACTGTGATGCAGGTTCCTGGGGCGGCCTCTCAGCAACAGTCAGCCTCAGCCCCCTCTCGTGGGCAGGCTCTTTGTCTGAGCCTGAGCCATAGGCCCAGGGACTCCATCAGCCTGAGCTGGATGGAGAGAGGCCCCGACATGCCGTGTTCGGAACGGTCCGTCATGGGCAAGCTGCAGGAGCCCGTCTTCCCTCCAGCCTTCCCGCAGGCTGTTGAGACAGCTACAGAGCTCCTAGGATGAAGCCCAAGGGACTTAGATCACAAGTGCCCACAGATCACTGAACTCCTGGCGCCCCCTGGCAGTGTAGCAGGGAGGCACTGGGCCTGAAGTTCCCCCGGTAAAGCGGCAGCTGCCCGTCTGGGGCCTGCATGTGCAGGAGTGTGGGGCAGCTCCCGCCACAGCTCTGGGCAGTCCTGTCTGCATCCTCACCCTGTGACTCCCTGGGGGATCCCTGCCTGAGGCTTCGCAGGGTGGCACCTCCATCCTGGTCCTAATGGGGGTGACCCTAGTGTAGAACCTCACGAAGGAAGATTCTTCTAGTGCTCTGAGCCCTGCAAAAGTGACATGAGGCCCAGGACTGCCTTGAATCCACTCAGCGGCCCCGTGCGTGTTCCTGTGAATCAAGTGCAGTGCTGGGGCCCCTCACTCGGGTGCCCAGCCCTGCCCGTCGAACCACGCTCTTCTGATCCCAGCTAGAGCTGGAGAATACCTGGGGCCACCCGGGAGACATTCGCTTGATTTCTGTTGAAAGAATCAAGTGGCAGTTTCTAGCCTGGCACTGAGAGCCAGGGTCTGGGGAGGGTGCTGGAAGTGGAAGCTGGAGGCCAGCTAGGAGATTGCTCCCAAGATCCTGGTGCAAGATGATAGGGTAGGAGGTGAGGAAAGAGTGGTGGGATTCTGGGCATATTTTGAAGGGTTTGTTGACTGATTTGGGTGCATTCTTGTGAGTGCAAGAAAGGGGAGCTTTCTCCAGGGTGGGCTTATGGCAGGATGATGGTGACACCACCGTTGAGCTGCCGGGACCCCAGGGACTCACAGAACTGACCTGGGTGGGTCCCACAGTCCTCAGGGGCTCGGAGAACATGGGACCAGGGACACTGCCGTCTTTAGATCTGCAGAGCGGTCTGTGCCCTCACCTTGGTCTTTGGTTCCAGAACTTGAGGAGAACACTTTGGACCCCAAACTCCCAGCAGCTGCAGGCCCTTCTCTTCTCTCGAGCCTTACCCTAACAGAGGCTCCGGGGAAGGATCCCCTGGGCGGTTCCTTGCCTGTGGCCGCTCAGGCTGAGCCTGGGATGGTTGGACTCAGGCCGTGGCGTTAGGGCACCAGGGCCGTCACAGCAGGGCAGTGTAGCCAGGTTGGCCCTGCATACAGCGGGGCTGGCAGCGAGGCCGCGGGGCCTGGCGATGGGGCAGCTTCCCCTCTTCGGGACGGCGTAGGCTCCTGGCTGGCTGCCCTGCTCGCGCCCTGAGAGCCAGCTGCTCCCTGGAGGGTGTGGGCTCGCTCTGCCCAGCCCTGCCTCACCCCAACGCCTCCGATGCCAGGTCGCCCTCATGAAGCAGATGCGGGAGGAGCAGCAGCGGCGGCGGCTGGTGGAGACCAAGCGGAACCGGGAGATCGCTCAGCTCAAGAAGGAGCATCGGCGACAGGAGGTGAGGGGCGGTTCTCGAGGCTCCCCCGAACCTTCAGCGCACAGCCCCCAGCTCCCCTGTGTGCCTGGCTCTCCCAACCAGGCGAGCTTCAGTCCTGCCGCCCCGTGTGGTAATGGGAAAGAGGGGCCTCTCCGCGCATCTAGTCTGTTCAGAGCAGGGACTCCAGGCCCAGTGTCACCAGCCAGTCAGACCCAGAAAGCTGCAGCCTCTGATCCTTCAGAGAAGCCCCAGTAGGGCCCAACCCCTCATTCACCCTTGGGGGGAGAAGAGGCCAGGGGATCACTGTCATGGAGACATGGGGCTGCCCTGTGACCTCTGGGAATGGAGCAGAAGTTGGGGCCTCTTGTGTCAATAAGCATGGGCTACCTGGGAGTCACCCTGAGATTCCGCTTCCACCCTCAGAGTGCAGCCCACCCTCATCCCTAGCCCCTGTGTAACTGTGGGCCTGCCCCTCCTCTCACCCCAGTTTCAGATCCGAGCTCTGGAGTCCCAGAAACGGCAGCAGGAAATGGTCCTGAGGAGGAAAACCCAGGAGGTGAGCAAGGCCTCCCGCAGCTGGCCCCAGGGCCCGCCTCCTGCCAGAGGGGGAGGAACATGGCGGGCAGGGAGCGGTCTGGCCCGCCACCTGATTCCTGTGTGTGAGGCCTGTTTTAGGGCCTTTCTCAGACTGGGGTGACCAGCTCTGGTCCCCAACACCTAGGCTCTTCATAGGAATAGCTTTTGTGTTCATGCCAACTCGGGTCCCTCGGCCCTTCTTCTCCTGACCCCCAGGTTTCTGCACTGAGGCGCCTGGCCAAACCCATGTCTGAGCGGGTAGCAGGGAGGGTAGGACCGAAGCCCCCCATGATGGATTCGGGGGCTGAGGTGTCAGCCAGCACCACCTCGTCTGAGGCCGAATCGGGGGCCCGCTCCGTCTCCAGCATTGTGCGCCAGTGGAACCGCAAGATCAACCACTTCTTGGGGGACCACCCCACACCCACTGTTAATGGCACCCGTCCTGCTAGGTGAGCAGGCCTGTGGGGGTGGAGAGGCCGGGGAAAGGCGAGCTCTGGGGAAGTGTGGTCCTGTGCTGGCTGCCACGGCTGGTTGGGAGCCCCATGGAGCCGCAGGGGTTGAGAGGGGTCACCCCAACTGCCTTTGCCTCTGTCTCCCAGAAAGAAGTTCCAGAAGAAGGGGGCCAGCCAGAGCTTCAGTAAGGCTGCTCGGCTCAAGTGGCAGTCGCTGGAGCGGCGCATCATCGACATTGTCATGCAGAGGATGACCATTGTCAACCTGGAGGCCGACATGGAGCGGCTCATCAAGGTGGGCCCCGCCCTGGGAGTCTGGGGGGCCCAGGCTGCCCTGCCCTCTGTCCGCTCCTCCTCCTGCCCACCTGCCCTTCTGATTTCCGTCACTCTTTGGACCTCTTTGTCCCCCTCCCCTTGCTCTGGATTCCAGAGGTGCTGGGAGGCCCCAGCGGCCGGGCCTGTCTGGGGAGAGAGCTGTGGGCAGCAGCCTCAGTTCTGGCCTCTGTCCCCCCAGAAAAGGGAGGAGCTGTTCCTCCTGCAGGAGGCGCTGCGGAGGAAGCGGGAGCGGCTACAGGCGGAGAGCCCAGAGGAGGAAAAGGGACTGCAGGAGCTGGCCGAGGAGATTGAGGTGCTGGCCGCCAACATCGACTACATCAACGACAGCATCACAGACTGCCAGGCCACCATCGTGCAGCTGGAGGAGACCAAGGTGCCCACCGGGCGGGCTGGAGTGGGAGGGACGTGTGCAGGGTTGGGGGCAGCCCCAGGTGACCAGGGGTCTCTGCCTCCTGGTCCCAGGAGGAGCTGGACTCCACAGACACGTCGGTGGTCATCAGCTCCTGTTCTCTGGCCGAAGCTCGCCTGCTGCTGGACAACTTCCTCAAGGCGTCCATCGACAAGGTGGGCACCCGCTGCGTCCTGTGCCAGTGGGCGTGGGCGCCTGCGTGATCAGGCCTGGCTCCCCTGACCTGCGTCACGGACAGGCTGGGACAAGCTGCTTCTCCTCCTGCCTCAGATTCCGAGGCTGTTAAAGCCCAGGTGATGACAATGCCAGACTCGTGGCTGGTTACGTGGCTTTAACGAGGTGACACCCCAGGGGCTTGGCGGGGTGCCCCGTGCGCAGCAGGGCGTCTTGGAGAGCATCCTGCATGGCTGGCTGGAATCCAGGAGGCTGGGGGAGAGTGTGTATATGGATGTTGGGGCGCCCGGAATGTTACACCGGACGTTGGGTGCCTCTTCGCCTGTCCTGGGCTCCTCTCCTCTGACCAGAGAGCTGGCTGGACAGTGAGCCTCTCCCCATGGGGCCTTGGTCTTTGGGGATGCACCCCACATGGTGTGGGTATGTGTAGTTCTAGCAGGAGGTGGGTGCCCTCTGTGACCTGTGATCCCCTCACCCTGCCCCATGCTCTCAGCTCTGCGTCAGGCCTTTGGGGGGAGAGTGAGTCTGTGAGGGCTGCTGGGACAGCCACAGGCTGGAGGCTTTGGTCAAAGCTGCAGTTTTCCTCACAGTGCTCGAGGCTGGACGCCCCCGCAGGGCTGGTGTCTCTGGTTTCTCTGGTCGCTCCTTGGCTGTAGCGCCATCCTCCACCTGTGTCTCTACAGGGTCCCCCCTCTGTGCTTCTGCATCCTGGCTTCCTCTCCTCACGTGGTTGCCAGTCACACTGGCTCCTGACCCCACTTGCAAGGCCCCGTTTTGATAAAAGTCCCCTTTAGAGTCCTGTCTGCAACACAGTCACATTCTGAGGTTCTGAGAGTCAGAGCTCCAACATAGAACTTTGTGGGCACTTGATTTGGCCCCAAGCAAGGCGATGTCCTGCCCTCCCTGGTGGCGCAATGGGTTAGAAAGCAGCACTGCAAGCTGGCCACACAAGTGGCTTCAGTTCGATCCCGCCTGCCTCGGAACTAACCCACATGGCACAGCAGACTTCTCCTGACCCGCCCGCTGCTCCCCTCAGCAGTGTACTTCATCGATCAGTCAGTTCTGCTTCCCACTCTGTCTCTGGTGACTCCTTTCACCGCCCCTGCACCTCTGGCCTGTACCCCAGTTCTGTATGCACAAGTTAATCTTTAAAAACAAAGTTAGCAACAAGGCGGTAAGGTGACTCCCATTAACATGTATATGTAAATTAAGTCAAGGTGCATCTCAGGTCATGACAGGTCCAGGATGATGTCTGGGAGTTATTGGGGGGGCTCTCCAAGGTGCCTTGTTGGGAGCAAGTGGTATGAGGGCAGCGAAGGGGGTGCCTGCAGCCCGCGCTGGGAAGGGGTAACCCCAGGCCTTGCTCCCGGCTTTCAGGGGCTGCAGGTGGCCCAGAAGGAGGCCCAGATCCGGCTGCTGGAGGGGCGGCTGAGGCAGACAGACATAGCGGGATCCTCCCAGAATCACCTGCTCCTGGACGCCCTGCGTGAGAAGGCCGAGGCGCACCCCGAGCTGCAGGCCCTCATCTACAACGTGCAGCAGGGTATGAGGCTGTGGGCTCAGGAACTCCCATTGCTCCCAGGCTCTGAGCCCCAGGAAGGCCACCGCCTCCCTTGAACCCTGCCCCCAAAACCCCAATCTGGTCCCAGGAGTGAGATGTGGGAAGAGGCCACCCCCCTCTCTGTCCTCACTCTGCTGGGGCCTCTCAACCCGCACACTCCTCCCTCCCACAGAGAATGGCTATGCCAGCACGGACGAGGAGATCTCAGAGTTCTCCGAGGGGAGGTGAGTGTCCAAGTTGGGAGTGAGAGGCTGGCCTCAGGGTTGAATCAGGATTTGGGGGCTCCTTGGGACCCCGCTGAATTCCACAGCCTAATTTCTCAGAATCCTGTCTCCTTCTGCTGCTTCTTTAGCTTCTCCCAGTCATTCACCATGAAAGGCTCCAGCAGCCATGATGATTTCAAGTTCAAGGTGAGCCCCCCGCTTGCAGCAAGGTGGTTGCAGCAGTAGGTTGCAGCAGGGTGGGCCTCTCCCAGTTGGTCTGGCCTTGCTGTGGCTACCCCAGCCCTCACCCCCAGCCTCCATGCCGTATTGCCTCCAGCTGGAATACAGGTGTCAGTAAGGATCGCAGCTGGATTTAGGGGGTGCCCAGAGGTGTTAACTGTACAACCCCACTTTATCGAAGTGAGTGAAAGGTGGACGTAGCTGAGTCTCGGGCTGTTGACATTTTCATGCCTCTCCCCCAGCCAAACCCGCCTATGATGCTGAGTCAGACTAGTCTAGATGGCCGGTCTAGGTCTCGGGGCCTTTTGCATGCCGAATGTTGACTCAGCAGCAGGGAGTCAGCAGTGAGGAGAGCTGTGTCTGCATTCAAGGATCGGTGTCAGGCTGAGCCAAGAAATAGAACTTATGTGGGGAGGGCAGCAGCTTGGGAGCTGGGTACAGTGAACCGTGCATACTTTGTGGGTAAACGGATGCCCTGGGCTCCCTGTGCTTGCATGGCCCAGATAAAGGCAGTAAAGGCATTCTACTGCTTAGGGTGCTAGGAGCCTGGAAGCAGGGTTTCCAGGGATGTCTGCCTGGCCCTTCCATCAGCTCCTCAGCCTTTGGTCTGGGGCACCATGTCCTTCCTGAGAAGGACATGCCGTTCATCCACCCTGGCCTTCCCTTCCCAGGGGGAGCCAAAGCTGTCTGCCCAAATGAAGGCTGTGTCAGCCGAGTGCCTGGGGCCCCCGCTGGATATCTCCACCAAGAACATTACCAAGTCCCTGGCCTCCCTCGTGGAGATCAAAGAGGACGCCGTGGGCTTCTCCGTGCGAGACCCCTACTACCGGGACAAGGTCTCACGCACCATCAGCCTGCCCACCCGAGGGAGCACCTTGTAAGGAAGGGAGCCAGGCGCCGGGTGAGGGTGGGAGACAGTCTGGGCTGGGCCTCACCGGACCCTTCTGTTCCAGCCCCCGGCAGTCTCGAGGCTCGGAGACGTCCCCTCTGACCCGGAGGAAGTCATATGACCGAGGGCAGCCCATCAGGTGAGAGCATGTTCTGGAACCTGCACCAGAGGTGCTGCTGGTCTAGCCCCTGGGGCGTGACCCCTGTGGTGTCCCTCTGCAGGTCACCGGGCCCCTTTCTCAGCTTCTCCTGAGCACCCCTTCCCTACCCTGTCAGGTGGGGACTCAGGAAACACAGTCTCCATCAGCTCCTTGAGCTGGGAGGCCAAGCCCGCTGCCCAGAACGTGCGGCTGACGTTACTCCCGTCCCCCAGGCCTGCAGTGGCTTGGGTCGGTCACAGTGCTGATAGCTTCTGCCCCTTTTCATGACCATGCATCCTGGGGAGGCTCTCGGCCTCTTTAAATTCTGGTCATGGGAGAATATCCAGGTTTAAACAGAAACCAGAGAGGTGATGGCCTCTCAGGGCTGGGCCCCACGGAGACCCCGGCGGCATCTGGCCCAGGCGCTGGATTTTCAGAGAGGCTTAGTGGTGTTCCTCAGGGCACTTCACCTGTGAGCTGAGAGCACACCGCTGAGTCACAGACTGGGGAGTTAGGCCCATCACACAGTGACACGCCAGGCCATACTTAAAGACATTTCCAGAGAGAAGGGTCTTGGGGTGTCAGATCCTGGTGGTGTGGTAGGTCGTCACGTTCCCTGGAGAAGCGGCCGATTCTCACTGGAAGTAGTTCTGTTCTGGGAAGTCACTGCAGACATCGACTTCATGAACACTGGACCCTCACTCCTGGGGGTACAGATAGGCTCCTGGGGGTGTCAGCTGATTAACACATAACCTTGTTTTGTGTGTGCTTCTGTTTAAAGCCACCCTACTGAATGTGTATTGCTGATCACTAACACTCATTAACATTGACCTCTCGGTCAGCAACACCGAATGCACATCTAAAGTGACCTCCAGGAGGCTTCTTCGGTCAGAAGCGCTATACCTGGGCGCTACTTCACCAGTGAAATCAACAATACAATGACAAAGGTGTTGCGTTAAGTGGACCATGGGAGGGATGCTTGTTTATAGTTTGGGAGCTGAAGCAAAAGCTCTGATTGCCCTCAGCTGGGAACATGCTCATTTTCCCATTGCTCTCCCGTCTGCAAATGACCGCAGCGGCATTGCCAGTACCATGTGGGGTCACGGGTACACGACATGAGTAGACGAATTCCCAGATGCAGAATCCGCAGGTGGAGGGTTTAAGAACCGCCTCTGGGGGCTTACGCCAGGTTTGGGCTGTCAAGTCACGGCCCTCGGGCTTAAGCCAGAGACACAGGGGCCTGGGCCCGCCTGGGGTGTGGTCACTCACCTCCTGCTCTCATGCCCACTCACCAGGTCCACAGACGTGGGATTCACGCCCCCCTCGTCCCCTCCCACTCGGCCCCGTAACGACCGCAACGTCTTCTCTCGTCTCACCAGCAATCAGAGCGCAGGGTCGGCGCTGGACAAGTAAGAGCCAGAGCAGGCCAGGGGCACCGACGATGGGAGAGTTGGCGGGGGACTTGGGCAGCCAGGCCCACCCTGACCATACTGTTCTGAGCCCTCTAGGGAGGAGGCTGGATGCCCGTCTCCTGGTCTCTGCCCTGCTCCTGCAGTCCCCTCCGTGGGCCCTTCCCTCTGAGTAGGGGGCAGGAACAAGCCTCAGGAGAGGGTTAGGAGCAGCCCAGTGGGGGTGACCCTGCAGTCAGGTGCCCGGGAGGCCTCTCCAGGCTGGCCCCTTGAGCCCTCAGCTGATTCTCTCGCTTCCTGGATTCTGCTCTGAAGCTCCCTCCCTGTACCCACCCCTCGCCCCCCGCTGTGAGGGCCGTGCACAGGCCGGCTCTGGGGTGGGCAGCAGCCGGCTCTGGGGTGGGCAGCAGCCGTGCATGGAGAAGGCACTCTGCTGGCACCCTGCTTCCCCATACGGGGTCTCACTCGAACTCTCGACCAGTGTGAGAATGTCTTCCTCTCTTTCTTAAGAGGGAGTGAGGCCAAAGAGGGGCCAGAGGCCACTCACTCAGACCGGCGGAGCTGGATGGGGCTTCTGACGTACCTGTGCTTTTGCTACCAGCGGGACTCTGGCTTGGGAAAGAGGGTGGATGCCGTCTCTCTGTGCTCCCGTGTGCTCCCTCACTGCGGACCCCAGCCTGGCCATTTCCACCTTGTTACAAACCCAGAAGGCTCCCTTCTGGGCTCCCCAGAAGCCTCTCTGCCACGAAGGAGGATGTGTTCCCAGCCCTACGCCCAGTGCCTGCCGGCCGTCTCTCCCCACAGAAATGCCCTTTCCTGGGTTAAAAGCCTGCCCCTGCCCCAAACCTACATTGTCTCTGACTCCCACCAGCGGTGTGGTGTCCCAAACATGGCCTACGCCACCCAGGGTGCCCCCACCCCTGTACCTTTTCGATAGGCAGTTCCCTGTCTCAGAAGCTTTGGGGTCAGGTTCTGGCCACGCCAGCCGGGAGTTCTTCCAGCCCATCCACTAGCTCAGGGCCAGCTCCTGGGCACGCCCTGTGGGCTAGCTGGCACAGAGGGCTTGCAAACCGAGCCACCAAGGAATTGCTCCAAGTGTTTACCCCGGGGAGGGGCCGGGGCCGGGCCGGCACCTTCCTCCCCCCCGGTGTCATAGGGCAGCTCGGGAGCATGGAGCTGGCCACCAGCCAGAAGCCATCCCCCTGGACTATGGGGTGCTGCTCCCCCAAGCCCCCACCTCTTAGCCGAGGGGCCCCTGGTGGCCTGCTGTAGGGGGCGCCCCCAGCTTCCAGGCAGCCTGCCCCCACTCTCCCTCAGTGCCCTCATTCCTCTACCTCTCTCCGCTCCCTTGAAGAGAATAACCCGCCCTCTGACCTCCCCGTGCTGCTGCTGCTACTGCCTCTGCCGCTCCTCCGTATGCGTTTTCCTCTCTCCCCCTAATCCAGCTAATTTTCTACCCTCCCCAGGTCTGATGACAGCGACTCCTCTTTGTCGGAGGTCCTGAGGTACACACAGACGCTCTCGCGTGTGCTCCCCAGCTCACTCTGTCTCTGTCTCTACCTCTCGCTGCACCGCCTCCCGCCTGTGCCCCTGTGCCCTCAGCATGCGGCCCACCTCCCCTCCCTGCCCTCTGGTCCTGTGGCTCTCCTGAGACACCCTCCTGCCCCTGGTTCCTCCCTGTCAGGGTTTCCGCATGGCCTCCACCACGCCCGGCGGCCCGTCTGGAGCTGGGGCTTGGGGGGTTTGGGGGGGCAGTGGCTGCTCATCACGGCTCTGTTCTCTTCTCCCGTCACCGTCTCCGGGCAGGGAGGGCGGCACATGGGAGCCTAGGAGTGGGGCGCCTGGGTGGAGCCCGAGCCCCACGGAAGGCCTGGCACCCGTCGGATGGTGGTCCCTGGAGGCCGCTGCTGGCTGTGCCCAGCATCGTGTTGCCGGCCCAGCTTGTCCACTGGGGGGCAACTTGGGCCTTGGTCCGCGGAGGGCACCGACACCTCCTTCCAGGGTGAGGAGTGCGAAGCCGCCCCTCCCCCAGCGGCCAGTCTCCCAGCCAGGCCAGCTGTCCCCACAGCGAGGAGCCTGAGCCCCCTTGAGCTCAGGGCTCCTCCAACCTCCCAGCATGCCCGCAGCCCCCCACACCTGCCAAACTGGGTAGGGGTACTCTGCAAACCCCAGGGCGGGAGGTGCTGCCGCCCAGACACCAGCCAGCCAGCCCAGCAGCCGTTCGCGAGGGTGCCCGTCCTTCCGCCATGCTTGCCTCTGTGGTCCTGGGCTTCTTCCCAGCCGCATCCCTGGGCCCGTGTCAAAGCAGGAGCCTTGGGGGGCTGCTCCCGCATGTGGCCCCTGGCTGGCAGCTGGAGCTGTCGGGTCACCAGCCTCACGGGTGGGCCTGGCTGAGCCCGGAGGGCTGTGAGCGGCGCTCTGGGCGGGACACCGGCCACGTCAGCACCCTTGGCCCTTCGTCCCTGTGAGAACAGCATGTTCTCTGGAAAAGAACTGGCCGTGTCTTCAGACCTGCACACACTCAGCAGGGCCGCCTCATTCTAAGCGTCCTCACGGGGAGCACAGATGTCCTCAGGGAAGCTGCTGTGTCTGGCTCACTCAGCACAGGCCTGTCCTCTCCCAGAACCTTCCTAGAAGAAGGGGGTATATTCCAGGCCTCATTCCCCGCTGGACCCCAGACTCCCTTCACCTGGAGCTGAGCTGGGGTTACCTATAGCAGTTCCACCTCTTGTAAATGGCAGACACGGGTCTGACCATGTGGTACAAATGGGGCTCATGGGTAGGAGGCTGTGTGGATGTATGTATGTGTGTGTGTGTGCATATGTGTCTCACTTGGAGCTGCCAGCCCCAGAGGATAGATGGGTGGACTGGACTGGTTGCTGCGGGGAAACAGCCCGAGCATCCTTCACCCCACCTGGGGTCTCTAGAGCTGCACGGAGAAATCGTGGAAGCTGCAGGAGGCAACTAGCCCTTGGGCCTCCGTCCTACCCAGCTGAACCTGAGGGCGTCTGCATCTAGGGGTCTGGGTCAAGCGGTCATGGGTGGGATTGCCCCTTGGCAGGACTCACGTCTGCTCCTCTCAGCAGTGCCTGGCACAGGTCTTGCTCCCCAGAGGTGCTCGGGGGCAGGGGGGGGGGGGGGGGGGAACTGGCAGATTGCTATCCAAGGCAGGTCTTTCTCGTCTGCACGGCCTGTTCACACCCTCGGACCTTGGTGGAGCTTGGTGGGAGTCTCTGGAGTCTCCTTCATTCATCCATCCCTAGTCCTCTCTACCTGCCCTCTCACCTGTGTGCCTCCCGCAGCCTGGCCACGGGCCCCCAGGCTGACACATGTGCTTCCTCTCTCCCTCTCTCCCGGGAAGGGGCATCATCTCCCCGGTTGGTGGAGCCAAGGGTGCGAGGACGGCCCCACTGCAGTGCGTCTCCGTGGCCGAGGGCCACACCAAGCCCATTCTCTGCCTGGACGCCACAGACGAGCTGCTCTTCACAGGGTCTAAAGGTGAGAGGGACCCAGACTGGCCAGTGGGGCTGGGGTCTCCCACCAGCAGCTTCCTTTACCAGCGTGGTCTGTGACCAAGCTGCGCCCGGGAGTCGAAGGTGTGGGGTGGCTTCGCTCACTGCCATCCTGGTCCCACCTCGGTTCCGAGCTCTGTCCCTGGGTGCCCCAGCTTTGCCATGCCTCCCAGGTGACCTGTGGCTCTGCCTAGCACTTCCTTCCAAATCTCCTGCTTCTCAGTTGTCCTCTCACCCCTGGCCACACTGCCCTCAGGCCACTGGCACCTAAGCACCTCAGTGGTAGCCACATCAGGGCCCCACAAAATCAGTTACTCGATTACAACAAAGTCAGAAGAATTTCACCAGTAGAAAGAAGGGGTGTGTGTGTGTGTGTAATAGACACTAATACAAAAAGAATACATACGTACACACGTACACGTGTGTCTACATACATATACACTGTGATCGCGCATCGCTTCACAATGAGGATGCATTCTAAGACGCGTTGTCAGGTGTTGTCTTTGTATGGAGTGTTACATTCACACACACACCTGGTGCATCATACAGGTGCTTAGCCCGATGTCAGCCAAATCCTCATGGACTTCGCCTGACAGCAGGAAGGCATAATCACTCCGTCATGAATGACAAAGGCCCTATTTCTCCCTTCAGATTGACTTTCCTTTTGTTCAGTAATTTTGTGTGCAATTAACAGGTGTGGGAACAGGCACCCAAGCTGCAGAATTCCGTCTTAGGCGGGGACACCCTGTTTGTGCTCACAGAGCTACTGGGAGCCCCAGCCTGAACTCCCCCGATGCCTGTACCCAGTGTCTGCATGCACAAACGGCCTGTCCTTGTCCACTCAGACCAGGCACCTTCCTCTAGAGCTCTCTGACCACCTTTGCAGCCCGTCGGGTGTGTGTGCATTGCAGGCTGTGACTGCTGCCTTTTCTCCCCTCGGGGCTCTCAGATCGCAGCTGTAAGATGTGGAACTTGGTCACGGGGCAGGAGATCGCAGCTCTGAAGGGCCACCCCAATAACGTGGTCTCCATCAAGTACTGCAGCCACTCGGGGCTCGTGTTCTCCGTGTCCACCTCCTACATCAAGGTGTGGGACATCCGGGACTCAGCCAAGTGCATTCGGACCCTCACGTAGGTACTCCCCCGCCTGGCTCACGGTGGGGGGCTGAGTGCCAGTCCCAGGCTGGTGACCCAGCCCTGTCTGGCTACCTGGGCACAAAGACGCTTACAGGCTGGGGGTTTGGCCGAGGGGCTGGTGAGATCCCAGTTTGGGGAATGGTGTCTAGCAGTGGTAGTTTGGGCAAATATTTACTTGCTTGCGTTCCTTGTCCCAAGCCCCCAGTGTGATGGGTGTAGCCCAGTGGGTCCAAAAGAGAGCAGGGCCACGAAAGGCCAAAGGTGGCAGCAGTCACCTCCACAATGAGCCACCAGAGGGACCCCGACCCCTGAGTCAGACCATCCTAGCAGACACAGGCAAGATGGAGACCCCTTGAAGTTGCTTCTCAGCACAAGTCACACATATCCTTACGTTTACATTGTGAAACTGCCATCTAGTGTCAGTGTGATCCTTAAAAAAGAGGAAACAGGCTCTCCCTGGTGGCACAACGGGTTAAAGCACAGCACTGTGAAGCTATCTGCAGCCACGCAGCACAAGTTCAATCCCCGGCCAGGGGGCTGACCCACATGGCGCGGCAGACCCCTCTTGACCCGCCCACACACTGCTCCCCTCTGCAGTGTATTTCAGTTGCTCAGTCTGTTCTGCTCCCCAGTCTGATGAATCCTCTCACCACCCCCACACCTCTGGCCATACCTCTACCCCACTTCTGTAAGCATAAATAAATCTTTTTTTTTTTTTAAATTTATTTATTTATTCATACAGAACTGGGATACAGGCCAGAGATGCGGAGGGTGAGAGGATTCACCAGGGACAGAGTGGGGAGCAGAACAGGCAGATGGATGAAGTACACTGCTGAGGAGAGCAGTGGGCGGGTCAGGAGAGGTCTGCCACGCCATGTGGATCTCCCCCGGGGCAGGTGGGGATCGAACTCATGCATGGGGAATTGACTTAAGCTTCTTAGTGCTGTGCTTTAACCCGCTGCGCCACCAGGGAGGGCCCCATAAATAAATCTTTAAAAAAAAAAAAAAGCAATAGGATTTTTGGGGCACAGGACGTTTTTGCGATACTGATGTTCTTATCCCTTTGTCGAGCCCACCGGATGCACCAGCCTCGGAATGAGCCCTAACGCCAGCTGGACTCGGCTGATGATGTAACAGAGTGGCTTCCCACTCTGTCACATCATCAAACATGCCCCTCCCCATGAGAGGGGTCTGTACGTGTGGAGATTGGGGTGTATGGGGAGTCTCCATACCTCCCTCTCAATTTTTCCATGAACCTAAAAAATCCAAGTCTTTACAAAATAAAACAAAGCCAAAATAAAGAATAAATAGAACAGATGTTATCACTCTTCTTATAGAGGAAGAACGGGGCCGAGAACTGAGGTGCTCTCCTCAAGGCCAGGTTTTAGCCCCGTCTCCGGGCTTAGCCTCCCCATCTCCCAGCGCCCCTGCCCAGACAGGTCAGGTGCAGGAACCTGTCTCCTCCCACCCCTGACCCCACCTCATTGCATCAGAAATCTCCAGGAGGTGCTGTTGCTCCCCTCTGTCAGTCAGGGGAGGCTTCCTGGAAGAAGTGGGTCACCTGGCAGAGATTCGATTGATTCGGTGGCCCTGGAGGAGGCACTGCTTTACCTGGCCTTGCTCCTCCTCGCCGGCAGGTCCTCAGGCCAGGTGATCTCAGGGGACGCCTGTGCGGCGACGTCCACCCGGGCCATCACCAGTGCTCAGGGGGAGCACCAGATCAACCAAATTGCCCTGAGCCCTTCGGGCACCATGCTGTACGCCGCTTCGGGCAACGCCGTCCGCATCTGGGAGCTCAGCAGGTCAGTGAGATGCCCAGGGGGCAGAGGGAGGGCCTGGGGTCACCAAGAGAGGGCATCGGCGCCCACTTGGGGTGACCCACAAGGCCGACACCCTCAGTTCCTCTGTTCCCCGTGCTGTTGGACTTGTGCCTCCTCCTGCAAGGTACAGCACCCATGTCCTCCGAGAGCCCTGGACACTGGGCCACTTATGTCCCTGTTCTTGCTCAGCTTTGAGGGAGGGAGGGAGCGCGCCCTGCCAGGCGTCTTTGTGATGTGACAAGCTCCCCCCCACCCCACCCCCCACCCCGGCTTCCCCTGATCCACCTGCCCCGTGTGCCTCTCCCCACTCCAGGTTCCTGCCCGTCGGCAAGCTGACCGGCCACATTGGCCCCGTGATGTGCCTGACGGTCACCCAGACGGCTGGCCAGCACGACCTGGTGGTGACCGGCTCCAAGGACCACTATGTCAAGGTATCTAGCCCAGCCCAGCTCCAGCTTATGAAAAATAACAAGACTTCTAGGCATTTCTATGCAGAGCCTGGAGAAGCAAGAAGCTGAGTGCAGAAAGTAATGATGTGATTGTAAATGGTGAAAAATTAGAAACCACCTAAATATCTAAAAGTAGAAAAACGGAATTAAGTTAGGGATGCTCCCTTGGCTGGATGCAATGTGTCTGTGCACTCTGAAGACAAAGGGTGGAAAGGGCACTCATTTTATTTGCCTTCTGACCACGTCACTGAAAGCGTTGAAGCTGGACAGCAGCGTTTACAGAAGAAGGAAGGAGTGGGTGGTGGGGTGAATGCTTGCACTTCACATGCAAGTACTGTTCTCGTTAATGTATTAGGCAATAATGGGGATCTAGAGGGAGCCCACACCCCCACATCTCGCCTTCCTCGGAGCAGCCTCCTGTTGGCTGTGGAGTCAGTGGTCTCCCCACACACCCAGCCTTCTCCTGTTCGGGCACTGGGGGTTGGGGGGGGGCAAGACAGGAGCCTGCTGAGCCCCAGGGCTGCAGCCCTGCAGGAGCGCCCCCTTTGGGCCGGGCCTGGGCGCTTCGGTGCTGTATCCAGGCACCCCTTCCTCCGCAGATGTTCGAACTGGGAGAGTGCGTCGCCGGCACTATCGGCCCCACGCACAACTTTGAGCCCCCGCACTACGACGGCATCGAGTGCCTCGCCATCCAAGGAGACGTCCTGTTTAGCGGCTCCCGAGATAATGGCATCAAGAAGTGGGACCTGGAGCAGCAGGAGCTCATCCAGGTGCAGTGGGGTAGGAGAGAGCGTGGGCCAGGGAGGGGGTTTCCAGCCAAAGCAGGGCCTTGGGGGCCCGGGGCCATAGCTCCCCAAACTTGCTCATTCGTCACCCTCATCCCCTCTGGGCACTGCACCTTTCCCTCTGACCTCTCTGAAGGCTGAAGGGCTCTCTGGGGGTGCAGGGTCTTGGGATGAACCCGCAAGGGGAATCCCGGCAGCCCCCAGCATGGGCCAGTCTGGCCTGGTTCCTGGGCACCAGAGGCAGGAGGCACCAGCGGGCAGCCATTCTGTCTGTGGGGTCTCCTCCCGCGGCTCCCTCCCTCTTCTCACTGGCCTGCTCGTCCTGCAGCAAATCCCCAACGCGCACAAGGACTGGGTGTGCGCCCTGGCCTTTGTCCCGGGCCGCCCCATGCTGCTGAGCGCCTGCCGCGCGGGCGTCATCAAGGTCTGGAATGTGGACAACTTCACGCCCATCGGCGAGATCAAGGGCCATGACAGCCCCATCAACGCCATCTGCACCAATGCCAAGCACATCTTTACCGCCTCCAGGTGGGTGCTGGGCACAGACGTCTGCTCTGCTCCCCAGCCACTGGTGTGGGCGGGGCCGGCTGGGGAGGCTCAGGGCCCCTGCAGCTGTGCCAGTGTTCACATGGAGCACCCGTCAGGGCCAGGGCAGGAGGAAGGTGCTGGGCCCTGGGAACAACTTGCCCTCTGTCTCCAAGCACTTCCTGCCTCTCACAGCAGTCTCCACCCTGCTGTCCAGCTGCCCGAGACCACAGCGCAGCACCAGCCCCCCACCTCCTCCACCCCGCCCTCCAGCCCCAGGTCCACCCTGGCCAGGGACTGCCCAGCCCTCTGGAGCGACTCCACTGGGTCTCTTTTTCCTCTTGTTCCGACCATGTTCCCTCTCCTCCCTCTCCTTCCTCCCGCCTCTCCTCTGCTCGCCTCTTCGCCCACAGTGACTGCCGGGTAAAGCTGTGGAATTACGTCCCTGGACTCACCCCCTGCCTTCCTCGCCGAGTCCTGGCCATAAAGGGCCGCGCCACCACCCTGCCCTGACCCTCCTCGCCACCCCTCTCCCCCCTCCTCTCTCATTCTCCCCCTCTCTCCTTTTCCCTCTTTCTCCACTTCGATCTGAGCTGCTTCTTGACGGTATGAGATTATTTTACCCCTCTCCCTTCATAGCCTGCCTGGCCCAGCGAGCTGCCCTGCCTGCCCTCTGGCTCCTATCCTCGTCCAAGCATGCACAGTGGGGCAGCCCCACAGGAGAGGGGTGCCGGGTCGCAGGGAGAGGGGACCCAGCCGTGCAAGGAGAGAAACCCTGATCAGGGCCCTTTGGGTGCGCAGGTCCTCTCCCGCTACCCAGCACCCCACCCCTGCTGTCTACCCTTGTCCGAAGCAATGCCTGCCCCTCAGCCCAAGGCCATGTGGGGAGCTTGGGGTCTTTGGGCTCTCCTTCGCTTTTGGGGTCGCCAGTCAGGCTCCCTAGGACTGATGTGTCCCTCTCTGTCCTCCACCCCAGTGACCTGACAGTGAAGTTCTGGAGTGCACGGCGGTTACCCGGTGGCCCACCCTAGGAGTGAGGGCAGAGGATGGCCCAAACCCTCGCCAGCGCCCGGATAGCACTGAAAGGAAACCCTGGGGGCAGGGCGAGTCCTCTCCCCGCTCTCCTCCCCTTGACTTGTGATGGGAGATTGTCCCCCGGCCCCTCCCTGGCCTCGTGGGGAGAGAGAAAGAGGTTGGGGAGGAAATTAAGCTGTGAAGCCAAGGGTATGTCCCCTCTCATTTCTCTTCCCACAACCCTTTGGCCTACCCCAACTGGCCACGTTTTCTCTAGCTGAGCTGGCCATACCCTTCCTCGAAGCCGCTGGTCCAGCAGAGGGGCCCTGGTGGGGAGGTAGCAGCCCCAGCCCCGCCTGCCCCTCTGGTGCCTGGCCCCCAGGCCTCCCCCTTGTGCCACCCCCCCCCCCCCAGCCCAGCCTCTGGAACCCCTGCACCTGCCTCTGAGCCCAAAAAATGAGTCCTCAGGTAACCACGGAAACCAGGTGTAGGCAACGGCCCCACAGCCATCCCCACCAGATCCCAGCAGTTCCCCGGGACCCCTTTCTGATGGGGCCAAGGTGGGCTGCTAGGGAGATTCCTCTGGGGAGGTGTTCAGAAATACGTCAGTTATTTATTTTTTTTATTTTTATTATTTTTATTTTTGCTGTTGCCTCCTGGAAACTGACTTGAAGTTTCTTCCCACATGTTCTCTCCCTTGGCTCTTGGGGGCCAGGAATCCCAGAGGGAATCCATCGTCCCCGCCCTCTGGGGCCCCCTCCTCTGCTTGCAGAGGAGGAAAGTGCCCCCCTATACATTCTGCAGCTTGGCCTGTCCCGGCCCCCAGGGACATGTAGCGCCCCTGACCTCTAGGCCGCCTGAGCTTCAGTGCCTTCCTCCATCCCAGGGCCTGGTGCCCACGCGGGCAGCCTTACACCAGCCATGCCCACGGCACCGCTTGTGTCTTCTCCCTGCACTGTCTCATCCCCACTGCCCTGGAGGGCGGCGGAGTTCCACCGCACACCCCAGGGCCCGGGAGCCCACCCCAGGGTTCTGCATGGGCCCCGTAGGAAGCAGCTCAGAAAACTGTCTGCTAGGAGGCAGCCTGGATGGGGAGGCCCCCACCACTCCATGTGCCCAAACTTCACCCTGACACACAGGGAGTCCCTCGAGCGTCTTTCTCTCTGGTTATTCAGGAGACATTTTTCAAGCCTTAAAATCGGCATAGAGCAGGGCCCTTCCTTCTGGGAGACTGATGGCCAAGAGGGTATTCTTTAAGTTCTTTCTTGGGGCTGCAGGCAGCAGCTCCAGGGACGCCCTGAATGGGTGTTGGGGCAAGTCTGATTTATAGGAGTGGGCCTCTGGGGCCTCCAGCCCTCAGTCCCAACCTTCCATGCTGTTTTCCATTGCTGACTGGTCTTGTGCTTCGTGGCCTGCCTGGGAGCCAGGAACTCCAGCTACGTGCAGAGGACACCGGGACTTTTGGACCTTCTGCTCTATGTTTCTGCCCTTGGCGCCTCTTCCTTGTGGCCAAGACATTCCTGTCAGCAATGTGAGATCCCGGTGAGAGGCAGCTGCTGCCGAGGCCTGAGCGCAGCCCCCCTCGGCGGCTGCCCCTGATGCAGAGAAGGCTTCCTGCGCCGAGGGGCCCCCGCTGAACGTGGTGCTGAAGGACACACCCTTGCCGGCTGGTCACCTGGAGCCCAGGTCCGTGACGTGGACTGACCGTCCTCCTGCACACCCATCCTGGGGTGCCAGCCACTCTCCAGCCACTGAGCAGCCAGCACAAGTCCTTCCCTGCCCTCCCTTCCCACCGAACAGAAAAAGCTCCACCCTGTGACCTGTGAGAAAGAACCCCCTGCATGACTGTTTACAAACTGTAGAAACACAAGACTGTGCATCCCAGGGACCGGGCCGCCGGCCTGGCGTGACCGCAGGGTGGCGAGGCCTGTTCCTGCATGGATGTCATGTCCAGGCCTGCGAGAGGTGCTCACGTCGCCCAGCTCTGCTGTTCTGGCAGGCCTGCTACCTCAGGGCGGGCCGGCTCTGCTGTCCTGGCAAGTATCACTGACTCTAAACTTGAAGCCCTTCGGGAGTCCCCGAGCCCCTCCGAGCTTTGGAGGCTCTGCCCACCCTTTCAGGGATGTCCAAGGTCACAGTTAGGGGCAGGCCCCTAACTCCACTCGCTGCACACGCCCTCTAAATGTTGGAAGCACAAGATGGTGGTGGTTTGAGCACACTGGCAAGGTCGCGGCAGGTCATCAGGGCCACCGCCCTGCTTTGGGGTCTGAGATCAGACTGAGCTTGTGCACATTTGGGGGTCCTGCCCTCCTCAGACCAGGCCTTGGCCCATGGCTTGTCCTGATTCTGGGACACACAGTACTTAACTCTTCTGTGCCCTTCCAAAAACGGGAGGCTGGGCTGCTTCTGCATGCCATGGGCCTGGGAAGAGTCACCTCTCCAGACCCCCTCACCCCAAATCTTGAAAAGCCTGAGTCCAGGCTGGGGCCAACCCTACTGAGCCTAAAGAGTCTGGACCCACATTCCCTGTGTCCCGGGCCAAGCCCTTGTGAATGCTTCTGAAACTGACTGGTTCCCTGGAGAGAAAGTGTCTTCCTCCCCATGGCGCTCAGGCCTTCCCCTCACTGGCCTGTGTCCAGCTCTGCCCTCAGTATTGACCAGTTCAGTGTTTGCTGGGTGACCAGCTCCCTGGGGCAGCCAGAATTCCCAGGGTGGGGCAGCTAGGGCTGCCTTTGGAGGTTGCAAGGAAGAAGTGAAGGCTCAGGCTCAGGCTCAGGCTCAGGCTCAGGCTGGCGCACCCAAGCCTTTGAGGTGGGCAGGGTGCCAGCTTCAGGCCCTCCGGAAGGGACCCCTGAGGACCTGAGAGTGTCTCCCTACCCTCACCATAGCTTTAGCCTAGGACACCTCCCTCCTTCCAGCCCACTGCCCTGGCCTACCCAGGACTGCCTGCTGCTTGGGCTGGGGGCGATTCTAAGCACAAACCACTGTAGGGAAGACTTCCCAGCCACGTGAGATGGGGGGGACGTGGGCAAGTGGGTGCCACTATCCTCTCTGTCACATGATCTGTCCTGACTTAGGGCCTCCTCTTGCGCCATTTGGATGGATGTGGGCCCCTGGGGTATGCCACCCCTGCCCAAGCCGGTTGTGTTCACCGTGGCTTGTGGGGGCAGAGCCTGCCCTGTAGGGGGGTGAGAGTTCCTTCCCAGGATGGCCCACGCCCATGGTGTCTGTCCCTTACCATCCCAAACAGGAAATGCCTGCCACTCACTGAGCTTGGCCAGCCTCCAGTCCAGGCTCAGGAGCCAGGCTTGGCCAGTGCCCCCCACAGGCCTCGTGGGCCTGGCCTGCCTCTCCTGGTGTCCAGATCCTTCGGGCCCTCTCACGCGCAGCAACAGAATACAGGGAAGTTATGTACCTTCCATTCTGGTTCTGTGCCTCTTCCCCACCTATCCCTGGCACTCAGATGAGTGTCCCGCCCCCACCCCACGCCAGGCCAGTCCGTTTAAACCCACGTCCAAGGGCCTTGCAGAGCCGAGGGGCAGAGAACAGCTCTGAGGGAATGGGGCTGCCTGCCCACCAGCTCTCCCCTGCCCTCCGCTCCGAGTCTAGCACAACGTGTATATATGTTTTGTATCTCTGCCAATGACTGTACATAGTGTATGAAAGTTATTTAAGCCTCATGCTGTACATTTACGTTGCTAGACTGGGTGTGCGTGTGTGCTAAGAAGTTGTCATAAATAAAACCCAAATGACCATTGTCTCTCGTGGCCCCAGGCTGGTGGCCCTCCCTGGGGAGGGGTTGGCATTGGGCTTGGCCGGCTGATGAGAGCTTCCGGGTGCTGAGCTGGGGACGGATTCAATTAGGAGACAGCGGTGAGCGTCGCGTTCTCTCAGGACAGGTGCAGTGGATGAAAGAAATTGCCAGGCCCCTGTCGCCCGGCAGAAGGCAGCCATGTGAGAGGCCGGTCCTTTCTGAGGAGCACACTCAGGCCGCCGTGGAGCCTGGAGGCCTCTGGGGTCACCTCTATCTTCAGCAGCAGCCGAGGCCACATTGAAAGCTGCACTTTGAGATTTTCATATGATGAAAATGACAGGGTCTCTGTTTCCCAAATCTAAAACAAGTAACTTTGTCACCTGCACAGTCCCTGCCACTCAGCCAGTAGCTGCTTTCAGTGACCGCCAGGGAGCCCCAGGAGCATCTGGGCTGCAGAGGAGACTTCCTGAGGGAGGTGTCCTCCAGGAGGCTTCTGCTCCTCAAATGGAAGGGCCTTGACAAGGGAGGGCCACTGGCCCACCCACTGAGGTGCATACAAGTTGGCAGAGTTGCCGACTCCTCAAGCTCCTCTGGGGAGCTCCGGTGCCCCCCACACTGAGAAGTGAGTGCAGTTTTTTGTGGCTGGTGGACTCAGCCCCAGCTGCAGCCCTCTCCCTACCCCATTCTTTCCCTGCCCCAGGCCAGGTTCATCTTCATACTCTGCAGGACAGAGTCCGCTGGTAACCACAGGAAGTGACGGCTGGGCACGGCCAGCTGCAGGCCTGCGGTATGTGGGTGGACTGGGGAGACAGGCCAGGAGATATCAGGAACCGACTGGTCAGGAGCCGCCCTGGAGCCAACTCCAGCCAGCTGGCTCCTCGGGACTGTGCCCGACATCCGCCACCCCCCAAGGGTTTGCCCCCAGAGGTGGCTTTTCCAAACTCGGGTCACCCTGTCTTTGTCTTAAAGACCCTGAGAAACCTTGCTGGGCTAAGGGACATTACTTTTAATCTTTGACCATAGAATGGTGGCCTTTGTCCTAATGATAGTATTATCTGCTTGTTATAGAAAATTCATAAGCGAGTGTGAGGGAGAGATGCTGTTTGGAGAAAGTTGTGAGGCCGTTCTCCCGGCCACAACACACAGACCGTCTCAGAACACAGAACTGGGCGGCATCTGAGGATAAGCCCACAGCCAGGTCTTGCCAACCCTCTTACGAGGGGGGCCAGCTCCGAGGGCTGACGCTACCGCAGACACCGAGAACTGACCCGTGTGGCCAGACAAGGAAGCAGCAGCCACCCACGTTCACACCTGCTTTAATCAGAAACGTCCCTTGGGGCCACATCCCCGTTCTCGCCCTGCTGTCAGAGTCACAGGACACAGGGCTCAAAAGTGTCTCTTTCGAGAACTCCTGCCGCAGAGGCAGGAGGTCGAGGCCTGGGCCACCATCTTCTCCCTTGCTTCCAGGATGTAGAAGGTCTGTGTGGCAAGGCAGCTGATGCTGGGATCGGGGTCTTCTTGCATTTCCCAGAGGGCTGGAACACAGAGACGGTGCTGGTGCTTTGGACCAAATGGGCTGGGCACGAGGACTCTGGCCCGTGGGCAGCTCAATAAAAGCTCACAGACAGGCAGGGCAATGAGATGGGGAGCGGTGGCTTTTAAAAGACAAGCAAGAACCCTTTGGGGTCCACACTGCTTGGCCACGCGCAAGATGACACAGCTGCCACAGCTCGGGGTCTCCAGGCTCGTGGCCACCCCGCTCCTGGGTCCGTCCCCTTCCCCTTTCCCGCACAACTCTCTGCTTTCTGAGAATATCCAGGAGCAAAGTCCTCTGACTTCCAGAGCCACGGCCAGGGAATCAGCCAGCGCCTAGATGCCTGGGAGTGTTGGATGTGGGTGTGAGTGGGAAACAGGGAGAGTGGGGGCGGAGATGCCTGGGCCACAGCTCGACAGTCCTGGAGGCTCTGGGTGTGTGAAGGCGGGGAGGACATGTCCTGACTGATGAGCGAATGGAGCTCAACAGGAAAGGGGGGCACAAGTAGACACAGGGCAGGGCTCTCAGACCAACACCCCAAAGCCTAGATGCCCTGGAGAAGAGCCTACCTCTTCCCGCCTTCCAGAGACTCTGTCTGTGAGCCCAGCCCCCCATTCTGGCTCATTTCTGAGTCTCCCCTACCAACACCAGTACCTCTACAGAGGAAAGACGGCATGGGGGCGTGGCCCACCTGAATACGCTGCCTCGATGTCGCTGGTGTCCTCCTCGGGCAGGGTTTGGATAATCTGGCCTAGGGGGGCAAAGAGGGCATCTCAAGCTCCAGGTGCCCTGGCTGTACCTGCTGTGGTGCCCCTTCCCCACCTTTGTCTCCCAGATCCTCCCTCTACCTCCCAACCCCCCTTCCTGCCCCACCACTTGCCCCAGGAAATCACAGGAGCATTCCCTGCCTCACAGCAGACTGGGCCGTGGTGGGGAGATACACTGCTCCGAAGATGCTTTTCTCAGGGTGGCTGAGATGGTCCCACATCACCAGGCTTCCCTACAGAGCAGCAGCCCCACCCCTTACACCCCGTCCTTTGGGAGCTTCGGGGGCTGGCTTCCCAAGATGTGGCCCGCCCCATCAGGAGCTCCCTGAGGGGAGGCAAGCAGGGGGCAGTCCTCGCTCCCCCCACCCCCAGCTTGGCCACTACGGCCCCTGGGCTCTGGGCCCGCAGGGTGATGGAAGGACCCGAGGACAAGGATACCGGCACTTCAAGCAGAGCAGAAGCCGTACCTGCAAACCACACTGCTGCCTGGCGGATGGCGGCCTGGGGGCTCTTGAAGAGCATCATGCTCTGCTTCAGAAACCAGGGGGCTTTGCTGCTCTCCTGCTCCAGCTGTAAGACAGGCGGCCCGTGAGGTCGGTCTTGAGCATGCGTGTCCTTTCAACCCAACTCCTCCATCACCTTCCCAGTGATTATTCTCCTACCCCCTTTTCACGCTGCGGTCTATGTCTTCAACAAAGCGTCTAGAGCCCCCGCACCATGGTGACATAAATCAAATTTGCCATGGGATGTGTCCCACAAACTTTACAAACGCAACAGGTACAACATGGAGCCCCTCGCCCTCCACACCTCTTCTCCATGCATTCCTGACCTCAGTCCAGACACCGACAGCTGCCCACATCGGGAACTCGAGAATCAATCTTTCCCTGCACCCTCCACATTAAATCAGCCTCCAGGACGGGCTAGTCCCTCCACAGAATGTCTCCATGCCCTCATCCCCTCCCCTGGGCCCCTTTCAGATGGACGCACGCTCCTCCCTTGTGAATGGCTCCTCTGACCTGCAGCTGGCCTTCCGTCTAAATGCACAGCTAGCTTGCCTTGCCACCTCCTTGCCTGGAACACAAAGTGGCTCCCGAAGGCCCACAGCATTGAGTCCCACTCCTTGCTGCCATGAGCTCCTGTGCCAGCATGACACACTAATAGTCCAAGAGTCAAATCCAACCTACAGAGCTTTTGGTTTGCTCCACACAATGTTTTAAATGCTGCAAAATATTTGCCCATCTACATGTGGGCGATTTCACCCAATAATGGGACTTCCTGCTTCTTGAACGAAATGGCAGATCCAGCAACACAGAGTCTGCTGTCTGTCATGGAAACAGTCAATTCTCAACTGGGACGCTGCTGTCCTGGGAGGACTGTGGCACTGGGGTCTGCTTTAGGTTGTCGAAATGATGACGGGGATCCACCAGTTGCTCATTCCCATTGCCTTGTGTCAATCAAAGCCTGTTTCTACACGGAAACAAAGCAGCAATACCAAGGCCTTTCGACCCTTGTGCACATTTATCAACGCTACTGTCCTGTCTGTGAGCCACACTTCCTGGGCAGCGCCCAGGGAAACTGAAGTAGCATTAAATCAATAAGAAGCTGAATTCTCTTTGAAAGAACCTGTTTCTAATTACTGTGCACAAAAGTTGCTCCATCTGTTACATAAGCACAAAGTTGTTCACAGTGCAGACACTCACTGATTTTTCCAGTAGCACCTATAAGATTAACAGGTGCGTGCGGTTTTACTGGGCCACTTGATTGCATTTCACAGCTGTTGCTTTGTTATTTTATTTTTTTTAAAGATTTATTTATTTGTGCATACAGAACTGGGGTACATGCCAGAGGCTCAGGGGCGGCAGAACAGGCAGATCTACGAAGTACACTGCTGAGGGGAGCAGCGGGCGGGTCAGGAGAGGTCTGCCGCGCCATGTGGTCACCTGCAGGGCAGGCAGGAATCGAACTCATGCGGAAGTGGCTTTAGCTTCTTAGTGTTGTGATTTAACCCACTGCACTACCAGGGAGGGCCGCTTTTTTATTTTTTTGTAAAGATTTATTTATGCATACAAAAACTAGAGTGCAGGTCAAAGGTGGGGAGGGTGAGAGGATTATCCAGAGACAGAGTGTGGAGCAGAACAGGCGGATCCACTGAAATCCACTGCTGAGGGGAGCAGCAGACAAGGCAGGGGAGGTCTGCCGTGCCATGTGGGTCAGCTCCCTGGCTGGGGATTAAACTCATGCTACAGTGGCTGCAGTGGCTGGTGGTAGCTTGATAGCGCTGTGCTTTAAACCCTACACCACCAAGGGAGGCCCTGCTATTGCTTTTTTTTTTTTTTAAATGCAGGGTTTTGCACCCCCGTGTTTATTGCTGCTTTATTTACAATAGGGAAGACATTGAGTCAACCCAAATGCCCAAAAGTAGATGATTGTGTAATGGAATATTACTCAGCAATTGTAAAGATAAACTCATGCCTTTTGCAGCAACATGGATGTGGCTGGAAGGGATCATGCTTAGTGAAATAAGGCAGAAAGAAAAGGAAAAATACCGGATGGTTTCACTCATAGCAGGAGCATAAAGGACCAGGGGAGAAAATAATAATAATAATAATAATGAACAACTATATACCAAAGACATTTTACAGGAATGGAGTGGGGAATAGGATCAAAAATGGGGGTAGGTGGAAGTGCACTGGACTATGGTGATGACACATGGGTGATTTGGTGATGGGAAGCCCACAGGGATTGCAACTGAGATGGAAAAAGGCACAAAATAATGTAAAAATATACTATTATATTGTTTTTAAAAATGCAGGTCTGTGTGCAGCAAGTCAATCAGCGCCATTTTTTCCGACAAGTACTCACTTGTGGCCTCGGTCACACTGAATTAAGGTTCACACGTTGGGCTTTTTAGACTTGATGCTATTGCAAACCTAACGTACATGCGCCGGGAAACCAAGGTACTCATGTGACTGGCTGTATTGCGATCTTTGCTTCACTGCCATGGTCTAGAACCAAAACCACAATTTCTCTAGAGAATGCCTGTTAAGCAAAAAAGGCTGGACTTCATTTTGCTTAGAACACCCCAAACCCACCCATGACTTGGAAGTCTCAGCACCAGGCCCGCATTTCTGTGGTATTTGAGTCCTCAGCACAAGGGTCCGGAACACTCCACATGTGTGGCGGGCCCAGAGAGGGGTGAGGGGGCCCAGAGCATCACCGTGTGCTCTAAGGGCCTGGATTGGGCACAATCGTCTACATTTTAATTAAGTCATGCAGATTGTGTCACCCTGTTGATTTCTATGGTGTTCTGTGTGTGCACACATACCATTTTCTTAGAAGTGATTTCATCTCTTCTTTAGGTAGATGACATTCACTGTGGATTTCATTTCAGGAAAGGGGAAAATTGGGATATGCGTGCCCCGACGAGGGTGTCTGCTGGGTTCTCCTCCAGTCTGCCCAGTCTCATTCCCTGGCCAGGGCCCCCTCCATGGCCTTACTGGCATTTGCTTTTTCTGCCCTGTGCTCCCCCATGCCCAGCTTTCCTATTCTTATTTCTTTCTCAAGATCAAGTTCAATGACTGGTGTGCAAAGTCCCTAGGGCAGGGTAGATGTAGCACCTCTGCCTGAACTTTCTGACCCTTCTCTACTAAACGCTAGCAGACCTTCCATTCTGCCCTCCAGATAACACTTCCTCCAGGAAGCCTTCCTGGAACTCTCAGAGAGCTGGGTGTCCTTCCTTTGTACTACAAGGTGTATCCCACCTATTAGCCCTTGTCAAAGTCCTTCTCTGCATGAGCCTAGGAGCGGGAAGAGGAGTGAGCTGCTGGCTTACCAGGGCCCTGAGGATCGTCCACACATCTTTCTCGGCAAATATGGTTTTGAGCTTGGACCAGCCCAGTATGGTGGCTGTATGGCAGAGCGTGGGCCGGCAGACCTGGGGAGACAGGAAGGCTCAACTTATGGACTTATGGCAGCAGGGCCGGGAAGAGCCGCCGAGGGAGACAAAGGGGTTGTAAGTGAAAGGCAGATCAGCCCCAGGGGAGTGGAAGACACTGGTGAACAAGAGGACCGATGGTTAGGAAAGAAGCAGGGTCTTCAAGGCAGTTGGGCTGCACTAGCCCCAAGGGGAAGTTTACAAGTTGCAATTGTGCTGATTTCCTGGTGCTCCAATACCCACAAAGATCAGAGCTGGGTGATGCCAAACTTGTCTCTGCAAACACAGCTTTCACCAAGTCTGTCACTCCTCTAAGTCAGGGTCGGCTCTGTGGGGAATACCGCCCCCAAGCTCCAGGCAGGACAGAGTAACCAAAGCAGCCATACCTGAGGAAATGGGGGACCCCACCCATGTGGCACCAGACACTTGCAGGGGCACCCCTCATTACCTATCATTCAGCCCCTGGGGCCGTGCACTGCTGGCAGGGCCCTGTTCCAGAATGCGGGCTCTCGCTGTCCTGCCCCCACAGGACAGAGCAGCTGGTTCCCTCCGAAGTTTCCCTCAGGATAGCTGGTGCTCTCGCACACCCTCCACTACACGCAGTTTTATCCGGTAAAGCCAATGATTAGAGGTCTTGGGGCCGAAACGATCTCAACCTATTCTCAAACTTTAAATGGGTAAGAAGCCCGGCTCGCTGGCGTGGAGCCGGGCGTGGAATGCGAGTGCATAGTGGGCCACTTTTGTAAGCAGAACTGGCGCTGCGGGATGAACCCCCTGCCCAGAGAGCAGTGGGAGCCTCCCTGCCCTGAGAGCCCCATCTCCATTGAATACAAAGGGGTGCAGAGAGCAGCTCCAGGATCGGGAGCCGGGGAGAGGAAGCATCCATACCACTGCCGGTCGCCAGTGGAGAGAGCCAGGTGCTGGGCCTTCTTCAGGTCTTCCAGTCTTGCCATGGCCCCTTCCTGGGAGCTTACCCTCCAGTCGGGTTTGCACGAACCTCCCAAGAGCTCCAGGGGCTGAGCCTCAGCCTCCAAGCCTGACCTCTCACCTGAGCCACGCTGACGTTCATGTCCACTAGGTGGAGCACGAGGACGACTAGCAAGTTGAGGACCTGGTGCCTGAGGGGGAACACCAGGACATTCCTCTTGATCTTATCCAAGAGAATCCCATAGATCTCAAAGGCCGTCAGGCGCAGTATCTCCGAATCCTGGGTAAGAAGACACACACACCCCCGTGGGGAGACCACCTCTGCCTCTGTGCCCCTAGTCACCAGGGACTGGCAGCGCCCAAGGCCACCCAACGCCCACGTGCTCCCCACTAGCACTCTGCTCCTCCATGAGATCCGCTCACAGCATCAGCTTCCCGAGTCATCTGCCCTCTCTGTTCCATTTCACCCCTTTTGATGAATCCTTACACGAGAGGATTCAGGGGTCGACTCCCAGCAAGCAGCACCAAGGACGCTTCCAGATAATCCTGCCCAACTGGCTAATCTTAAGGTCGCCAGAAGTGGGAAAGGGCCCCCCAGGGGACTTCACCTCTTCGAAGAAGGGCATGAGGGTGAAGGTGAGCTGCGTGAGGAAGGAGGAGGAGTGCTGCCAGGTGAGGTGCTCCACCAGACACCGCAGCGCCTGCAGCGTCTCCAGCACCAGCTGACTGTCCAGGGAGTAGCAGCAGCTGAGCACGTAGGGCTGCAGGAGGGACAGCTGTCGTGCCTGTGGGCGACACGCCTCAATGAGCCAGCCCCACATGGTAGAGCCGGGTCACTCAAGCTCTTCTGTCCCAGAACCCCAAGTGGGCTGGGGAAGAGGTTAGCAGTCAGTGCAATGGCCCAGACCTTAGGGGCACCTCCAGTGCTTGTGGGGAAGGGGAGCACAGAGGAGACCCCTTGACGCCCTCCTCCCACTGCTGCGGTGATTCCCTGGGCACGGCTTTCATCCTGGTAGTGAGGCCAGCCTCGTGGAGCCCAGGTGGGCTGGACCTTGGAATGAGCATTAGTTTGGCGCATGCGCCCAGTGACTGGCTGTCCTGAGGGAGGG